GTTGTCTAGCGTGTTCACGTATCCGCTGGAATTTCAAAAATGTCGAATGCTTCTGGGTTTTTCTGTGATTCGAGATATTCTGATAGAAATATCGTCCGCCACATTCACATTGGATGCTTTCTTTAAGTTTGTCGGCGTTTTATTGTTCACGCTATGATTTAACTAGCTCTCGATTTCTCAACTTTCTATCCATCTCAGATCTATTCTTATATTTGTAATATATTATCACTATTATTTTTGTTACCCTATTTCGCGAGACCTATCATCATGACAACACAACTAAACTTTGGCAGATATAAAGGAAAGACAATCGAAGAAGTTTTTGCTGTAGATCGGAACTATTGTGTGTGGCTACTACAGCAAGAGATCGTGATCGGGCAATCACGGGAGATTAAAGAGTTTCTAGAAGAAAGGCTGAAAGACTCGGATATGACTATGACACTGAACTGGGGAAAATACAAAGGCAAGTCGATCAAATGGATTCGCGATTGCGATAAGGGATACTTCGATTGGCTACTGAAGAACAAATATGTGGAAGAAAACTGCCCTGCGCTGAGAAAAGCTCTGCATTTGCGCAATTGAAAACAGTCAATTCAATGCATCTCATGATTTGAGCATCGGCGTTTTTTCTCCCTGGCCACCCACGCCTTCTCTCCGACGTAATCATGGTATGAAGCAGTACCGATATGTATTGATATGTGGTGGCTCCAGAGAAGCTCGATACATGCGATGCAAACGGTCCAAAATGTCGGCCAGCTTGGTAATTCCACATCTTGGAGGAAGAGCAAACGAGCGGCCTCAAGCAAACGTGACAAACTGTGTGTCTTATCCAGATGATCGATTCGCCCTTGCGTTTGTCCCCAGCTCAACGACACAGACTTATCAAGTAAACGAAGACGCGTACTAGTATGTCAAAGAGCAAGCAAAGCGGTGAACGGTAGCTCAAATGTGTTTTTGCTCGTTACGCCACGTATGGCAAGGGTCTGATTCACCAACTCATCTTGTAGGAACAACATCAACGCGAATTCGG